GTGAGATCACAAGTAGATGGAGAGGCAGGCAGGGGGGAGGGGGAGCACGCTCCCTGCTGAGCCGAGAGCCCAATGCAGGGTTCCATCCCAGGACCCCGAGACCACGACCTGAGCAGAAGGCAGAGGCCCAACCCACTGAGCCACCCAGGTGCCCCTATTGTTTTTATTTTTAAATTAAAAGTAAACACTGAAAAAATGTGTTTGTTTTGGGGGGGGAGTGTTTTTTTTTTTTGGTTGTTGTTCTTTTTGCTTTGGTTTTAGAACGAATGTTGGTCTTAGCCTCCCCACTGATTCTGCTCTGATCTGGGAAGCCACTGGTTCCCTGCTGCTTGGTTCTTTGCCTTGTCGGACTTTTCCAAAGAACAACTGGTTTCTGCGAATCCATCTGAGTGCTCTCTTCCAACCTGAAGTGGCAAGAGGCACTTTTCTTTAAGAGAACCTCCAGGATACTTATGGTACCAAATGCTGCATTTTTTTTTTCTATATTTCCAGATAGGAGAGGGGTTATCTCTGGCCTGCAGTAGCTTCTTGATTCTGCAGTCAGTTTTGTATAGGACCTTATACCTTTCTTTTTCTTTTCTGTTTAACCCTGAGAATTAGTGTTCATACTATGTAAGAAACAGTATCATTTTTGCCCTGAAAGTGACCCTCTGCAACCTTAATTCAGAAGTAATCCCCAGTCCTTAGCAAGGTCCACTGTGATGGACATCTCGGGTTCAATATCCTTTCTAATAATGAGGACATATTACAAAGCAGTTCAAGAATCTGTTCTTCTGTTGGTACAGTGCATTTTGATGCATTTTTTAAAAAGTCTCCATTATAAATTTCAAAATGCTATGATTTTCTAAATTTTTTCCTTAGATGAGTACTCAGCATCTTTCCCTCTCTTTTGGTACTCTTGTCTGAGAGAACTTGACTTTGTTTCAGACCAGAAACATTGAATTTACAGACTGTGTAATCATGATTTTTTTAAGTGCATGACTCATCAATAAATAGGGGAGAAGAGACAAGTCTTTCCAAATAATATATGTAGATACTCTCGCCTCTCATCCCCCACCACCCAGGATAAACTGGGCTTAGTGACCCATTTCCAAAGAAAGAAGTATGAGAAAGGAAACATAGTAACCTTCCAGTGAAGAAACCTGGCAGGCATCACCTTAACCACGTGACCAAGGTTCCCATCACCAGTGATGTCATGTGGCTATGGGATGATGAGAAGGGCACATGACCTCAGCAGTATTCTCTCCAAAAAAACAAAACAAAACAAAGCAAACACAAAACAAAACAGAAAACCTCCATAACCCCAGTTTTTTCATGAGAAAATACATCAGACAAACCCAGATGGAGAGACATTCTACAGGATACCTAACTACCTAACCACTATTTTTCAAAAAATAACAAGGGTATAAAAGACAGGGAAAAGCTAAGGAATTGCAACAGATTAGAAGACCCTAAGGAGATGACAGTTAAGTGTTTTGGATCCTGGGATGGAAAAAGGATATTAACAGAAAACCTGGCAAAATCTGAATAAAGTGAGAGTTTGGCTAATAGTAAAGTACCAGTTTGTTAATTTGACAAGCATACCTTAGTAACATGAGGTAACACTAGGGAATGTTGTAACCAGCTGAGGGGTATGCAGAATTCCCTGCACTATCTTTGCAATTTTTCTGTACATCTAAAATTATTCCAAGATTAAAAGTTTATTTAAAAATCTTTATGTTTGATTTCTCCCTCTCCCTCTGCCTGCTGCTCTCCCTGCTTGTGCTCTCTCTGTGTCAAATAAATAAATAAAATCTTTAAAATAAAAATGTTTGTATTTTCCCTTTTTTCTTTAAAAATTTTTAAATTCTAGTATAGTTAACATATGGTGTTATATTCGTGTATTATAGGTGTACAATACAGCAGTTCAACAGTTCCATATGTCGCCCCGTGCTCACACCCTCCTTCACCCCTATCACCTGTGTCACCCATCCCCCACCCCTCTCCTCTGGTGACCCTCAGTTTGTTCTCTAGAGTTAGGAGTCTGTTTCTTGGTTTCCTCACTCCTCCCCTCCCTGTCTTTTTTCCCTTTGCTCATTTGTTTTGTTTCTCCACATATGAGTGAAATTATATGGTATTTGTCTTTCTGTGACTGACTTATTCTGCTCTAGCTCCATCCACATCACCACAGAAGTACCATACTGTTTTGATCACCACAGCTTTATAAAATAACCTAAAGTCTGGAAATGTGACGCCTCCAGCTTTGCTCTTCTTTTTCAAGATCCCTTTGGCTCTTCGGGGTCTTTCATGGTTCCCTACAAACGTCAGGATTGTTTGTTCTAGTTCTGTGAAGAATGCCCTTGGTATTTTAATAGGGGTTGCATGAAATTGGTATATTGCTTTTTAATTACGGACTTTTAAAAGAGGTTTTACTTGCTTATTTGAGAGAGAAAGTGAGGGTGTACTCCAGTGCATATGCACGAATGGGGGAGGGGGAGCAGCGGAGGGAGGGGGAGCAGCAGAGGGAGGAGGAGCCCAACATGAGGCCTCCATCCCAGGAAACCAGGATGAGGACCTGAGCTGACTGCAGACACTTAACCAACTGAGCCACCCAGGCACCCTCAGAAGTACAGACTTTTTACCAGTATTTGTTCTCCCAATCTATGAGCATGGAATGTCTTTCCATTTGTTTGTGTCATCTTCCATTTCTTTTATTGGTGTTTTCTAGTTTTCAGGGTACAAGTCTTTCACCTCCTCAGTTAGGTTTATTGCTGGGTATCTTGTGTTTTCTCTTTTCAAGATCACGAGCCTGTGGATCTCGGACTTTGTGTAGCTGCCTATGTTTATCCGGAGCCTTGCACTGTAGCATGGAAAGCTATTAACAGCTACAAAACCGAAACCTCATCTCTCCCCTCAGCCTGACGACAAGGACATAGCTAGAAGATGACATCAAAGCCAGGGCAAGAGTGAGGGAGTGTGTGTGTTCTGGAAGACCCCGTGTCTGGGCTTCCTGGATGCTGGGGTGCTTGGGGACCACCTCAGCAGCAGCTCTGCCCTCTGTGGTGCTGGAGTGTCCACTGGTAAAGGAGGGTCACCCAAGTCTCCAGCTACCGCCTTGCTCCCCAGGAGCACAGGCTGCTGGTAACTGTGTTGCCACACGAAGGCAGAAGCAACTTCCTCAAGGGCATTTTTAGGCTCATCTTTACTGTCTTTCAGAACAATCATGCTCCTTGTTTGAAGACCATTAAAATGACAAAGATGCTATAAACCACAGAGTATCAGTGACTTCTTTCAAAGGATTCCAATCCACAAATGAGAGAGGGAAACACAAACAGATTTTTATCACTGGGCCACATTTCCGGACCCACAGCTTGAAGACTGACCTCCTTCTGCAGCTAAGGGGAACCGTGCAGGGTTTCTAAGGGAGAAGATTTTGCTTCTCTTCCCTCCATCCTGCAGGAGAATGAAGGAGGTTGTGATGGACCCAATTTTACCCCCCATTCATATGTTGAATTGAACATCTGAATGCTCATATGTTCATATGTTCACATGGCCTCCCAATTCATATGTTGAAGCCCTAACCCTCCGTGGGATGGGATTGTTTGTTAAGTGAGGCCGAGAGAATGGACCTCTCATTGGGTAGAACTCATGCCCTTGTAAGAAGATGAAGAGACACCAGAACTTTCTCTCCCCCATGTGAGGACACAGTCAGAAGGTTGCTGCAAGGCAGAAGAAAGCCCTCACCAGAACCTGCGCCAGCCAGACCTGGATCTGAGACTTCCTGGCCTTCAGAACTGGGAGCAATAAATTCCATTGGTTAAATTACCAAGTCTGCGACATTTTGTAATGGAAGCCTGAGCAGACTGATACAGCATACTATGAATAATTTCTCTTTTGACCAGAAGGGAAAAATGTTACAGGTAAAACTCAGAATGAAGTTGTTAGAAACAAAGAGAATTACATCAATTTTAATCCCAATAGGGGCCATTAGGGAAGGGACAAGAATGATAAGAGAGCAGGAGGGAGAAAGAGAACCCATCACCTTTTCTGGGCTCCACTCAAACTCTCAGGCACAAAGATAGAGGTCAGCTGGCTAGAACCCTCACTCCTGAATTATTGATAGTAATAATAATAATATGAAAGACTGGTGTTTGGAATTTTCCCCACATTTTAAAATTTTTTATTTTTTTAATCGTACTAAGTCAATGACTTGGAGTTTCTTCGTGGGATCTTTAAAAGCATCTCAAAGAGAACTCATAGAATTTCCCTATCTTTTTCCCACTACAGAGGTCTCCCAAGGCTCTGCTGGGGAATCGCATGAGGTAATTGGATGCAAAAGTGTTTTGTAAAATACAAAGAATTCCACCCATGCAAGCTATTATTGGAAGGAAGCAGAAGGATGAATTTAAATCCCAAGATTCCCCTGAAAAATGTGTGAAAGGTGGCCCCATTTAGATTGTCGTCCTCACTGTGAATTTACAGACCATTTAGCAATTTCTCCAAGTGCTCACACCCGTTCCCCGGGTGACATCCTTGCCCTGTGCTCGCAAGAGCAGGGAGAGGCCGGGCTCTCCCCAGCCCGGCCTGGTGGGCAGCAGCCCAGCAGCAGAGCCTGCGGAGGAAGGGGCTCGGTTGCTAGGAGACCAGCCAAAGTGGGCAGCCAGCTCCCAAGCAGGTTAGAATCCGGCAAGGAAGGATTTTAAAAGCCTATTTCCGTCTGCTTCTGGGAGAATTGAAGTTCTCTTCAGGGTCCAGCCACCAGTGATACAATCTGCTTTTATTACTGGTACTGAGAAGCCCTTGGAAGAGATCTCTCTGGCCATTTCTCGGGTCTCCTCCCTCCCACAGTGCCTAGAAAGACAGGCACTTAAAAACGTGGGGGGGGGGCGGTTAGGTTGGGGGTGATGGGGTGGGAGTTGGTGGAGTCCACAGCAGAAGCTGAGAAGTGACAGCAAGAATTAACCCAAGCACATCTGATCACGACCCTTACACCCTAAAGAGGAAAAGATTGTGTCCAAGCCATGCGCCATTGCGGCGCACCTTTTGCGGCTTCCACGAGCATCAAGGTAGGCAGCCGCGCAGCACTGGAAATGGTTTTCGAGTCCACGAGAGGTGGGTCAAGCAGGTCTTTTCTTCTGGAGTTTATCTTCCCAGAAAGGGCCTGACAATGCGCTTCTGGACTAATTAGATGAGATGGACACTGCCGCTAAGTCTTCCCTTTGAGGATTCTGAACAGACGATGGTTTTCAAATAAGAATTGTTTGGTGTGCACGCAGCACACCCAAGAAATCAAATGCTTTTTCAAAGCCCGGGAGCCTTCAGCAAGATATACTGATGCGCACAGCCTCCAAGAACAGAGTATTGAGCTCAGGAGAATCAGCTGGAAAAACAGTGGAATAATAGGTGCATTTAGAGTCATTTATGGGCTGAAGCTTGACAGTCTTTGTGCCTTGTTACTGCTGGAGCATTGAGAGCAAAGAGGCAGTGCTGATTCATCAGGAAGAAAGAAGCTCGCTGGCGTATGAAAATAAACCATCTCTGAAGAGGTTCCAGTGCCCTCAGCAGACACGCTTTATTTGGTTAAAGCGTAATGTCTAATGACAAAATGCAACAGCGATTTCAGTATTTCCTGAGACGCTCTGGCTTCCAGCCTGCTTTTATAGGCAGTCGGGGGTGGGGTGGGGGTGGGGGACTTCCAGGGGCCACAGTAATTGGCTGAGGAAAGAGAGACTCAGGAAAATTGAGGACATGCGCCAGGCAGTGCCTGTTTAATGGGGGTGAAGATGAGGGCAGCCCTGAAATCTGAGAATAGTGTGCATCTAGAAGGACCGAAGACCCTTCGTTGGCTAATTGTAGGATGTGTGAGAAGCACGATGAGGAGCTACTGCAAGGAATTCCAGCAAGGTGGGGAGATGCATGTCATGATTCTATGCATATAAATGAGAAAGCACTGAATCTCGTCTGTGCGTCTGCGTCTAATGCCCTGAATAAAGTGGACAGGCGCTGGAGCCATTTCCGCTTAATTTCTCCATTGTATAAAGTGGAGAGAAGTGCTTTGTAAATGGAGACTCTTGATGAGTGGAACAGTCATGGGCTTTGGGGCCACACAGACCCAGGTTCAGATCCCGCCTCTGCCATTTATTAGTGTGGGACCTCAGAAAAGATGTTTAATTTTCTGTTTTCTCATCGGGAACACAAGGGAGCTGCTGCCCCCCTCCTATGCGATAGTATTCTGGGAAAGCTCAGTTCCATCCCTCTCCTGACTCTGTGTTCTGGCTTTAGACTCAAACACCGGCGAGAACGGGTCTGAGTGGGGACTGTGGTGCAAGGGGCAGGGCCCCGTGGTTTGTAGCTTTCTACAGAATCACATAGTGTGAGAAAGGGGCATTTCTCCCAAAGGAAGACACCTGGCTGAAAAAAGTGTAATTCAAACAAAACGAGTTAAAAGGAATTTTTGGACACCTTAGACTGAAGACCAGGCATGACTGTACTTCCTCAGAAGGACGTAATATGGTGGGGCAGCTTTGCGATTTCAAAGAAACCGCTCCAGGATTTGGGTCACCCCAACAGTATTGGCTACATCTCCTGGGAGGAGAGCCAGGAACCTGCCATCAGGTTCCCCGGGTTGTTTCACAACCAGCCCAAACACCAAGATGCCCTCCCTATCCCTGGGCTCTGAAGGACAAACTTAATGCCTTCTGCTGAGCAGTGGAACCCATAGATCCAATTTTATCTGAGGGCTGCCTTCTCCTCCTTCTTCCATGAACGGACATGGCCCTACATGCTCCTGGCTGCTCCCCTCACAGATTCAGCTTTGGGAGCGTGGGCACCTTGACCAGATGGGTGAGTAGGAGCAAATACGGCTCTCAGCAAATGCTGCACTCGGGCCTGGTTAGCGGTGGGACCTCGGCTCACTTGTTTTTTTCCTTTTCAAACAGCCCAGGACCCTCAGGGGAGCAGCTGAGTCCAGGCTAGAAGGCCCCCCAGTGCTGAGCCTGGGGCAAGTTTCTAACTGAAGGGGGCAGCTCCCCAGCTTTCTGCTCCCAGGGAGACAGTCTGCGTGCCGTTGGATCCTCCGAGCACCAGGAAGGGCGCAGGCTCAGTGTCCCCCAAGGGAGAAGGCAGCTGCCCCAGGTGCAGGCTACGATAGCCACAGGTCAGATCTTTCTGGCTCCAGCTTCTCGACCTCGGCACTCCAGCTTCTCGATCTTGCCACCGACCAGTGGCTGGGGTTGCTTCTGGAAAGAGTCTCACTTGTCTCTCCATCTCCCCCTGCCCAGCATGAACCTGGTGACCTCTTGCCATGCCTAAGGGAGCAGGTTGCCAAATAAATGATCTGTGCCTACATGTCTAGGTGCTCGTGAGGATGAGGAAACCCAGGAAGGCCACTGGGATGGTTAATATGTGACAACCTGGCTGTCCATGCGGTGCCCAGCTTAAACATTTCTGAGTGTGTCTGAGAGGGTATTTCCAGATGAGGTTAGCATTTGGATCAATGAACTCAGTTAGTTGCCTTCCCTAATGTGAATGGCATCATTCAATCCACTGAGGGCCTGCATAGAACAAAAGGCAGAGGAAGGAAGAATTTGTCCCTTTTATCTGCCCTCACTCTTTGAGCCGGAACATCTCCTCTCTTCTCCTGCCCTTGGACTAGAATTTACACTATGATCCCCCAGATTCTCAGGCCTTTGGACTTGGACTAAGTTACTATTCTGGGTCTCCAGCTTGCAAAGAGCAGTTCAAGGGACTTCGCAGCCTCCGTAATCACGTGAGCCAATTTCTCATTTTATAGATAAAGGATTGTGTATCCACATGTATCGCTATCTGGACTGGCTAATACAACCATTCTCTTGGTCACTCTGAGGACTGTCAGGTGTGTAGTCTTCTGTGTCCTCCCACTGCATCCACAGTTTCCCTACTGCGTTTACCAACAGCTAAAATCTCCTTCCCGTGCTAACCACATTCATCACCTTCATGCTCAAGGCATTGCGTGCGGACTTGTGTCAGGGTGTAGTCTGATCGGGAAGGTGCTGCCTCTGGGAGAAGCAGATGGATGGTGAGGTCTTGGGGCCCAAGTCACGTGTGACCTGGAAAGCAGTTCATGGGACTTGTGAGCTAAGGGGCGGAGGTCTGAAAGCAGTAGTGAGAGAGTTGAACTGAAGTCAGAAGCCAAGAGAACTAGATGATTTACAAGGAAGCATTAATGGGAGATGAATCTAAGAGTGGGTGAGCAAAGAAACCAGAGAGAGCTGCCTGGGTTCCAGGGCAGGTGTGTGTGGGGTGTGTGTGTGTGTGTGTGTGTGTGTGTGTCTGTGTGTGTTTGGTGGAGTCAGACCAGGTGAGACGAGATGTAGGAACTGGTTCAAGGCTGGAGAGGGCCGAGGTGAGGCTGGGTGGGGAGGACGGAGCACGGGTTTCAGCTCCCAGAGGTTGAGCCCTGGGCGGTGTGGGGGTGGGGGAGGGGCACCTGACAGACTGCCAGCAGCTGGCGGCTGCAGGCTTCTCAGCCTGGGCTACAGGAGTCAAAGAACACCTGCCACGCCTGAAGTTACCTTTTAAGGAAAGCGTCCCAAACCGGTTCTTTCCTATGTCCATGGCTATTGCTTATGACACGTTTTGAGTGAAACCGACTCAGTGCCCTCACCATAACTGGCTTTACCAGACACCGATGCCAAGCTAAAGGCAGCCCGTCCTCCGTGAGCTGGCCACAGCAACTGCCTCGGAGGCAGCGTGGCATGAAATCTGGCCAGGGAGAGCACTTCAAGTGGCAGGCTGAACCGTGTCTTCCCCAGATTCCTGGGTGGAAGCCTTAACCCCTGCTACCTCAGAATGTGATTGTATTTAGAGAGAGAGCCTATAATGAGGTGATTACACTAAAATGAGTTCGTCTGAGGGGGCCCTAAGCCGACTGACTGGTATTCTTACAAGAAGAGGTATTTGGACATGCACAGAGAGACACACCAGGGGTGTGTGTGCAAAGAGGAGGGACCGTGTGAGGACACAGCAGGAGGTGGCTGTCCACAAGCCAAGGAGATTGGCTTCAGGAGGAATGGCACCTGATGACACCTTGATCTTGGACTTCCAGCCTTCAGAATTGTTAGGAAATACATTTCTCACACACTAATATTCAGTTATCCCTTTGGTGGAAACTTAAGTGCAGGGTTAGGATCCTCATGGTCCCTTTGTAAGTACTGGAGTCTAGACAGTATCCTGCTGAAAAGACATGTCCCTTATAACCTTGCATTCTTAACTCTGTGGCCCACCAGTCCTCATCACCAAAGATCAGCTGTGCTGGTCTTCTGCTTGAAACATGATGGAGATGGGTTAATACACAGGAAGCTCTTGAGGGGGAAGACAAAGAATGCAGGTAATGGGCTCCATGTGGTTGACAAGACTAGGCCAGGCTGGGGCAGGCAGAAGCTGACCAAATCCCAGGCCCTGGCCAGGAAGAGGGGGCACTCTCAGAAAGAGAAACAAGAGAAGATAAAAGACTGAAAATGTATCCTCCTATTTATAAGAAACACTAGGATGTTAATGGGGCTCTTGCTAGACTTCCAGACTTAGGAGCAAGCGAGTGTGTCCCGAATCAGCCCTGAGCCAGGGGCCAAGGTCCACAGAGAGTGGACATTTGAGTCTTGGGGCTGCTGAGGCTCTGGGATGGTCCCTGGAGGTAGAATTTCTGCATCAGATGGGGGTGAATATGTCCTGGTGAAGACAGGGCTTGCCCAGGGGCAGTGTGGATTCCAACCTTCAGGCTGAATATCGCCTATTTGCTTCCCCACTCTTCTGCAGAAAGAATGAAATTAGACTGCTTTTTTCTATAATCCGTTCACACAACAGTGAAGCAGTCCTTCGAGCAGACTTGTTTTTCTCTCTTTCTTACAATGTTGTTTATATGTTAAAACTCTCTGTGGGGAATATTGATATTTTGTTACTCCACAACAGGTTTTCTTCTGGACAGGGGAGGATCCAGGGAAAGGGAGACAAACGCCAGTTACCCTTCCCAGTGAATTCTGGCTACTGCGTAAAGGAATTTAAGAGCATGCGGAGCGTGTGAGCGGACAGTCAGGCAGGGTGTGGAAGAGCGTCCTGGCAGGGTGTGGAAGAGCGTC